ACTGTGTCCTTGCTGATCTGCGAGAGGTCCTGGCTACGTGTCGAGTCGACGTCCCTATGGACGAATTACATGATTTGGTTCAAAAATGTTCTATTTCTGTTGATACGACTACACCTTTGTGTACGGTACCTGCGGATTCCCATCATCCATCATTGTCTATGGATGAACTGCTACGGATGTACAATGCCAGCTATGTTGATGACAATGCGGTCGCTGCCTTTGCTGACCACATTGAACAAGCCATACATCATAGTGTGATGTCGGCTTTTGAAGTTTTTGGCCATGATCCACGTCGAGATGACTGCCTTCAAGCGACAAAGTGGGAACCTGAGGTCACCGAAACCTTCTTGTTTTTGGGTTTTCGTATCAATACCCATGATATGACAGTACTCAAAATGTAGTATTTGATTGTTTACGATAGATAATAGAAAGTACGGATTTTACCAATTCTAAAATATTGTGAGCAACGATCTGGATTTTGATTGAAAGTAGCGATGGATTTTCATCGCTCAATCAACTCCAAGATCGCTACTGTTAATGCTATTTATTCATATACTGGGAAGTCCTAACGGATCTTCCATACATATCCGGTTATTGTCATTCATTGTGTATTGTCCGCGTAGTTGATGTGGTTTCATCATCTGACGCGAAAATCCGTTGTGAATGCAATTGTTGATTTATTTTGTGAGTTTCGGGGACAAACTTGAAAGTCACATTCTCTATGACGTGTCACGCGATTCGCGTGACGCATCACAGGACATATATACATATATGTTCTGATTCTCCCTCTGATGGAAAGATCGAAGGTGTCAGAACAGGTCAAAACGAGAACAGTTACCAACCACAAATCATTTTGCGGTTTCGTTCAAAAAGGACTCGAGTTAGGCCTTTGGTGAACATGTCGGCGCGTTGTAGTTCAGTTGAAATTTTCTTCGCTGTGATTTTTCCATCATCCCAAGTACTGTTGGCATCGCGAGGGGGTCCGTCAGAAGGTTTGCGAATCCAGGACCAGAAGTGGTGCCATTTTGCAAGGAGCTGGCGGGTACGAGGAGTGATGCGCTGTTCAGTTGCCAGAAGGAGAGCTCCAGCATTGTCTTCAAAGACGGTAGAGGTGATCGAGCGGTTGGATGTTTGTAGTCCAAGAGGAGGAAGAAGATCCTCAAGAGTATTCTTGATTCCAAGGAGGACGGTCATGGTGCGAGATAGTTGCATGTATTCGGCTTCCAGAGTGCTCAGTGTGATACATGACAAAAGGGAGCTTTTCCAGAGTAGAGGAACGCCTCCAAAGAAGATGATGTATCCGCCTCGGGACTTGGCGCTAGCAGGATCAAAGGAGTCTTCAGATTTGTGGAGTCCAGCAAAATCAGCATCGCAGTATGCCTCCAAATCCAATGTTCCATCAAATTCAATAATCAACCCTTTGTCGGATGTCTTTTTGAGGTAGCGAAGAATGGTTTTTACGGCGGTGGCATGACAAGCCTTGGGTTTAGCATTGAAGCGCGCGGCACATGAAACTGCGTAGCTGATGTCAGGCCTGGTATTTGTACAAAGGTAGATAAGCATGCCAATAATGGAGCTGTATTTCCAAGGATGTTGGGGCCAGTCTTCACCGGTTTCGTCCTTGCCAAGAGGTGTGGGACCTGCTGGGACATGGTTGTCATTGCAGTCACTGAGACCTGCAGCCTCTAAAACCTTGGCAATGAGTCCTGTTTGTTTGAGGTGGAAGCGCCCGTCATCTAGCTTTTCGATTTCGACTCCAAGGAAGGTTTCAAAGTCGCCCTCAATTTCAAGATCGAAGCCTTTGTCGCGTAGTTGCTGGACCAATTCATCAATTTTCTCAGGCTTATCACAACTGATACCACAATCATCCACATATACCACGATCATCATGTCTTTACGAATGAGAAAGCACTTGTCGTAGGGTGAACTTTCGAATCCAAGTTCCTTGAAGGCTTTCATGACGTGTTCGAACCATAATCGAGGGGCCACGGTAGTTCCATAACAAGATTTTTGTAGATTCAGTACTGTTCGTTCTCCAGTGATGCTTCGCATGTTTGAATAGAATCCTCGAGGTAGATGAGCAAACATAGGTAGCTCTTTTGGCAATGGGGCGTGTAGGAATGCATTTGTGAAGTCAATTGATTTCATCACCCAACCTAGCTTCAGACTTAGTACCATGAATATTCGTACGGAAGACCAAGCAACGACGTCGGCTCTGGTGTCCATGTCTAGGTCTTGTAGGTCGCCTCGTAGTACCCATCTAGCCTTGAATTTAGTAATGGTTCCGTCTGGCAGTCGCTTTCGGCGAAATACCCAAGTTCCTGGAATAACACGAACAGTTGCATTGGACTCAGGTGCTTCAAGCCATGTGCGTTTGTGTTCGAGGGCTCGAATTTCTTTCAACGCTGCCTTGCGCCATTGTTCAGCTTCTTCTGGATGCTTCATTGCTTCATCCCAGGTTAAGATGTCGGGATCGCTTGAGGCAGCCTTGAGGAATTCAATGACATCAGCTGGAGCTCGGCTGTCCATGAAGACAAAGTTGGGTTTGTCTTCCAGTTTGTATCCAAGGTAAGAGAAGTGCAGATCGTAGAAACCGGCAATTCCTCCATCGTCAGTGTCTGGTTGAGTTGAGAATCGCTTGTATGACTCGTGTTTGGGTGTCAATACTAACTCTTCAGCCGTCAGAAATGGTGTGTCTTTGGGAAATGAGTGTAGATTTTCGACGTCGTTGAAGTCAGGATTGATGGATTGGTCGAGTTCGCTGAGATGGGAGGAGTATTCGACCTTGCTTGAGTAGGATTTTTGGGACGGATCTGGATCAAGAATGGGGGCCGAAACACCTTTGGTTGATCTGGTGCTGCGACGTAAGTTGGGACTGAATTGATGGGTGGAAGGTAAGTCTTCAATTGGTCGTTCGCGAGGTAGAGGTGGTTGGCTTCTGACGTTTGGTTTATTTCTTGGTGTAGGGCGAGGCAATGGAGCTTGTTGCTCCCTCTGTTGTTGAGATGGAAGCTCTGGCTCCCTCTGATTCGAGGAATCGGTCGTCGAATTTAATGGAGGAGTTGCTTGCATGGGGGCAACAGGCACTCTCTCCCTCTCAAGCGAAGATTGGGAGGTCGGAACAGAAGGAATATTGGAAGTAGAAGGCGGGCTGCGAGGTTCGAATAGGTCTGGAAGGCCAGTGATGTAGGGGCTGGAGGCAGAATCAAAAGTATCCAGAGGAGATGCAGGGGGCGGAGGCGGTTGAACAGGTATGGTGGCAAGAGCTGGAGGGTCTGTGTCGTCGGCTGGGAACTGATATTCGGAGTCGGTGAAGAGGGTCTGCCAATGCTCCTCAAGGAATGTAGGAATTTCTTCGATGCTGGTAGCAATGGTTGCAAACCAGTCATCGAAAACGCAGTTGAATTGAGGTGTGATGGACCCAGTTCTTGGATTGAGTACCAAGGGGACTGTGCTTGCATGAAATGGGCTGAAACCAAGGTAAACATGGCGTTCGGAGCGTGGCTTGAATTTTGGAATTGTCTTACCATCTGCAAGTTTCTTGTCCAGGACGTAGGTGGGGCAGCCAAAGACATGGATGTCATGATATTTGGAATGTGGCCATCGTTGGCGGGAGAATTTATCCATTGGGGACAGTCCAGTAGTCTGGTCAGGAAGGTGATTGTGCAGAAAGACGGCGTGATCGATTGCCATTGGCCATAATGCAAGATCAGCTTGTTCTGGCCAATGGATAGCAAGATGTACCAGCATGGTTCGTGCGGTTGATTGGATGTCCTGAATGGACTTTTCGACGATGCCGTTTGCGTGATGTTGACCAACCCCAGCATATTTTTGAGTCTGCGAGAAGGATTCGAGATGAAGTTTGTATTCATGACTGTGAAATACGGCAGCATTATCACTTCGATATCGTTGTACCACTACACCAAGATCACGACAATTAGCCTCAAATGCTTCCTTGCCGCGGAGAGTATCATGGGTGTTGAGGGACCTTTGATGGTGAGTGTAGGTGTATCCGGTTGCATTGTCGACAAATAGAGCTGACCCTTTGAACATTGTGGACTTGTGACCTTTGCCGAAACCCTCATAGGTGCGTCCAGGAACTGATGATACAAGGTGGTCCACGGATACTTCTTGTCCAGGATATAAGGTGTTGTCTCGAAGAGTGCTGGGAATATCCTTGATGTGTCCTTGGGAACGACGTAGTTTGGGAGGTGATCTTCGTTTGGCCTTGGCATAGCAACAGGCTGCACATTTGGGACATTCGACTCGTTTTGAAACTTGAGTGTGGAGTGCTCGAGCTCGTTGGCTTTTTGCAAGAGTGCCAGCACCCATGATGTAGCGGATGAGAGCGAAGCTGCGGTGTCCAAGACGTTGGTGCCATTTGAGCCATTCCCGATCACCATTATTGAGATTGATGTTGTGATTGCACACTTCTGAGATGGCGGCCTGCATGGTGGCATGGTGGCTTGGCCGAGTGGAAGACGAGCGTTTCAAGCAACAATCAGTAGGTGTTGGAGAAGATTGATCGGAGGAGATGTTGTTGGCGCAGACGGTAGCATCGTCGCTGGTAGTGTTGTCGTTGATGGGCTTGGTGACATGTCGGAAGGACCAAGAGGTAGGAAGGTTGTTGCTGTTGTCGATGCTTGCTTGGACGGCTCGAGTGATTGGTACTTCTCCAGATAGGATCATGCCGTCGGCATTTTGGGTAAGTGTCTCGTTGGGGTATTTTTGACACAGGGAACTTGTACTCAATAATCGTTGCGTTGCTGTAGGAATGTGGACGGCAGGGAGGATAATGGTTCTGAAGGAGTTGTCCGTGGTCCTGAAAGTCCACTTGACATTTCCTGTTCCCTTTACTTCGACTGGGCCTCCCACACCCTTGGTGGATGAACATGGTGGTGGGCCGAGAGGGCCTACAAAGTCATCAAGGTGTGGAGATACACACACGGAAGCTCCAGAATCCCAAATGACTGGGAATGCTGGTTCGAGGTCTTTGGCACAGTGATCAGTGAGGAACAGATGGTCGTTGGCGTATTCTGCGACGGAACTGCCGATCATGACAGGATATAGATGGATGATAGATGGAGGGTTGGCAGTTGTCTCATCTGAGGTTGAAGCATGAGATGTAGAGCTGTTGGTGCTGTAATTGGTAGATTCGTCGTCAGAGAGGCTGCATTCCTGGCATGTTGAAGATTCAACACAATAATCATCCGGAGGTGTCGTGTAGTTGTCCCAAGAGTCTGTGTCCCAAACGTCGAAAGGTGGTAGGATTGGATCAAGAGATCCCTGAAGAAGTAGTTCCGAGGTACGTTGGCTTCGAAGTTGTTGAAGTCGGATCGATTCGGCATTTGCTTGCTCTTTTCTTGTCTCTTTCATGGCTTTCTCATGTTGTTTTGCTCGTTGGCGGAGCTTCTCATGTTGTTTTGCTCGTTGGCGGAGCTTCTGGATGCGCTTCTTGTGGTAGGAGCGAAAGGAGTAGTCCAGCATCCATTGACGAAGTTTGCGTTCCATTGGGGATTTCCACTTGCTGCGCAAGCTGAATTTGGTAGGTCTTGTTCGAGCTTGAGGTCGAGTGTAGCTGACATGGATGTGTCGGCGATACACTGGAATCTCACCGTTTTCTCCCTCTGAAACGGTATGAAAGGAGGAAGGAAAGAAGGTAGTGGTAGCATGAAAGCGGCGGATGCAATCGGCACGGGAAGGTTGGTAGCGAGGGTGTCGGAAGGAAGGCTTCTGGATGCCACGAGGCTTGCGACGCGATTCACGGAATAGGTGCCGCTGAATCTGGCGACGGATGTGTCGAGGAACCGGAGTAGGAGCGGCAAAGCGATCGGGTCCAATGAAGAGGAGGCTGTAGATGAGGTACCAAAGAAGTGGTGCGATGGCATGCCAAGTAAATGTGTAGGTATCAACAAGGCGCGGGATGTCCTGGAAGAAGGCTGATAGGGCACTGAGACCGGGTAGAGCGTCAATGGTTGTCGTGGTACACAACAATGCACCGAATAGGCTGAATCCAAGAATGGCAACCTGGAACGTATACCAAAGGTAGGACCAGAGGTAAGACTTGTCCATGATGCTGGAAGATGGTGCCTCATCGAGGATCTCTGGCGAGGAGATCCTTTCCGAAATTTTGGCAGGTGTTGGCCGGGGAAGTTCCATATGGTAGAAGACGTACTTGAATCCTGAGGAGGCAAGGTTTGTTTCAAGAGACGTGTCGTCATCTGACCCACTGCTGTCTTGTTTGTTGATCAGTAGATGGGATTCGGTTGAAGCAGGTGTAACTGGAGTGGGTTTGTCGTCAGGTTTGCGACCGTGCATCCAGGTCCAATGAGTAGGGGTCCAACGGCGGCATCGACCACACCAGTTGTTCTTGACTCCTTTGATGTCTTGAACGTAGTGTTTGATACCTTCGATGGTCTCCGTGGGAGTCATGGATGGAGTAGGAGGTACGTGCTTTGGATTCGTCGATTTCTTGTCTTCATCAGGTGGCTGACGTCCTTTGCTTTGTTGGAGAATGTAGGCTTCGAATTGCGCGGCCACGGAAGGTGATAGGCTGTCCTTGAGAGCTGCCATGTTGAGGGCTGCGGGTGTTCGAGAATCTAGAGGTGTCATGGATGGAGGCCAGGTCTTGTTGTGCTCGAGCTTGACGTAGATGTCGGAGATGGTCTTGAGAAGTTGGGTGTAGTGAAGTCCTTGGCCTTTTAGGTGAGTGTCCCTTGTTGCTTTGGACATGTTGCGACAAGTTGTGATGGCATCGTCGAGCTTGTCTCGAAGTGTGATGATCTTTGATCGGAATCTCATGGTGTGAGGATTGGATGGATCAGTGCCACTGCCTGCATAGGAGAAGTTGTCTAGCATATGGATACTGTTGTCGGGTTCGTAGGATTCCATTGCGTCAAGTTCATCACAGATGGGTTTGAGTTTGGCTACCATCGACTTGAGGTTCTGTTGCGGAAACTGAGAGACGGTGATGGACTTGATTTCGTCCTCCAAGCTTTTCTTGCGATCAATGTTGTTGTCAGTGATGTTGGCCAAGAGAGAAAACCACACAGCAATAAACCCGTCGGATTCGGTGTGAAAGAGTTCGATGGTGTCCTTGAGATCATCGTCAACGGCATTGAGAAGATACTTGGCTGCGTCCTTGTCGTTGGCGATGCAGTATTTGTCGTATTTTGGGAGCATTGTCTTGTATGCAGCTAGGGCAGTCTCTTGAGAGAAGGAGTCGGCCGAGAGAATGACTGATGTGGTGGCTCCGTTCGCATCAGGAAGGTAAGTGATGGAGTCTAGTCCGTTTTCAACAAAATGCTGATGAAGATCTCGTTTCAATTTGGTTTGTTGCGAAGTCTTGGATATCTTGGTGGTTCCTTCGAATGTCGTACGGTAGGTCTGCGACTTCATGGATCGATATCCAGAGATTGGACGAGTTTGTCCTGGATAAACTCGTTCAGTTGGTGCAGAGGAGTCTAGGCCGGATCGTGTGTCATCGGGTTTTCCTCCGGTGTAGATTTCATACTCGTTGGGACCAACAGTGGTGATTCCACCGCAAGTTGGCTTGGTGATGTATGATGGTAGGGTGCCTGTAGATGGCGTTCCTCCGGAAGTGCTGGACATGG